CATGGCATAATTAGAAAACTACACCCTATTCCCACCTTCCGATGTGTTGGGTAAAAATCAACCAGACTCACTCCCGTCCGCTAATATTCCAAATCGTAATAAATAAAAACACACATTTTCGTAGAAATGTCATCTCTCTTTTTTTTTTTACCTAAGAAAATTTGACACTAACTGGACAGTTTAGGCGCTCAACATCAACAAACATCTGGATAAGTGCGCCCTCGTCTCTGTGCAGTGAAATAACAAAACTGACACAACACACATATAGACAAGAATGAATGCGATGCAAAAACTGGATCGAATGAAATCTGGGAAAATTAGAAAGCACTTATGAAATACAAACAAAATTTGTACAGAAACAAAGCATAAGAGTCGATCCAGCACACAGCGAAGGACCTTTGAGCCCCGGGAATTTTTTATATAAATTTCCAACATTTTTTGCCAACTTTTTCTTTGATTTGAAATTTTAAAAAACGACCACCCTCAGTCTTCGCGGCGAATTTTTCAATTTTTTTGTAAAAATCGACGTTAACTTTTTTGTTTCGCTTCCAATTCAATTTTTGACAAAAGCACCACATCGAATAATAGAAGGGAATGGAAAAACGAGGTAAAAGAGGCAAAAACGATAAAGTTCGTTTTGTTTGAAAAAAAAAAAATCATCGCTAAACAAAATCGTTCTTTGTTTTACTCATTAAAAAATGACAGTTCTTTTTCGTACAATAAATTAAAAACTCAAAATTCTAATATTTTGCAAAAGTTCAAAAACAGGAGCTAAGAGTTTTGAGAAATTTCGCAAATACGGAAAATGTATAAATCTGAAAAGTCAGAAGCAGCTTCCAAAATCATGAAAAAAAAACGTAAAACCGAAGGCTAAAAAAGGCAGATAAAACAATTCGTATGGAAATTTTTTAAAGTCTGAGTTTCTAGAAACTCAAAAACTCAAGACTGCTTTAACTTTTTAATCAGTTAGTTCAAAAAAAAGAGTTATCCAAAAAGGCCCCAACCACAAAATGCGGCGCAAAAAAATCAATTTCTCATTCGAAATAACTGCTATATTTGATCTTATTAAGTTATCGGTCAAAAAAAAAAACAAATTCACTGCTCTAAAAATCGATGTTACGCGGTCGTTGATGACAAGATAGCTTTTTTTTTTAAAAATCATTATTTAGCCTGTCATTTTGATTTCGATGCAAGTTTTTCTTTCATCCACGCAGCAATTTTTGACCGCAATGTTTCATCTGAAATACAAATTTAAGTGATTACGCTCATATCCGTCGAAGAGCATGGCGTAGTGAGAAGCAATATTTTGGCAATTTTAGGCCCCAGTTAGAGCAGGAAAGAAGATTCATGGCCCTCCATGCAATTAGTAGACAACTCAGGAATATCTGATGCGGAAAAATTCATCGAATTTGTTCAATTCTAGTGAATTCATAAATAGAAATACCCGCAATAAGCTGGTTTTCATTGAGCGGTTGTCTGGTGAAAGGATCCGTTTGGGAGCTGAGTAAATGGCGCATGATATGCTTGCGATCCATTTTATGTCCAGATGGCAGTATAACTGGATCGGTCATCAGTGTATTCATTACAGGATCTGCAAACATGAATGTTCAGTAAAACCAAAGGCTACTATACGTGTATCAGTTCCAGTCAAAAATAAAAATTATGCATAATAAGCTTAAAACAGTCGTTACCAAAGGAATCCAGAATCTGTTTCCTGCATGTTAATTAGCAATTTTTTTTTCTTTTTCTTTTAAATAAATTTGTTTCTCTCATTTCTTCTTTTATTACTTCTGCAATTTTCTTCTATCTTCTCTAATAATGGAGTGGTACCCACGCGCGATGTAACGAACACTGGGGAGGCCCCCAGTACGATGGCGAGATCCAATCGTGCGCCTTTATGGTGTCACCTGGTCTCGTCAGGCTCAGGAT